AAGGAGCAGTGCAAAGCTGCTAGCGAGCAGTGCAGGCGCTAGCCAAGCGGGCTGGCACCCCGTCTCACCCGAGCTCTCACCGTTACTCAGGTATTTGTTTGCCTCGGAGCTGAGGAGCGTGGAGAGGCTTTACTGCGACTCACTGCCCCCTTGAACCAGGCACTGCTGTGAGCAAACAACGGGACAATACCTGGCCTAAAACAACTTGAAAATTTGCGATAAACAGTAAAGGGCTGCCGGGAAAGGGTGTGTGTTCTGCAGTCACGTGATGGAAAAGGAACAGAAAGTGCTTGGATGTTCTTACTGGGCCACATGGACAGTACCACTGGAAACAGTGTGGTCACATGGGAAGATGTAATGAACGTTTTACTGAAGAGTCATTTACTTGATTGAAAGGGTCCTTTATGATCTGACTCCCCTCTGACTGATTGCCTTACTCTTTCAGGTCCCATCTCAGGTTATTAGGCAGCTTTTTTGCTGTGAGTTTTGCCCTTCATCCGGCCTTGTCCTAGTTTTCCAAGTGAGGCTTAGCTTGCAGGGGTCCTTCTCATTTCTGCTTTAACGGTTCGATGTCGCTGGTAATTTAAGGACCAACCTGTTTGTTGGCCAGTGAAGGTGGCCAGCCAGGCCAGGTGTCCTCAGGAGGAGGAAACGTGTAAAGAACCAGCCCCTAACGCGTAGCTGCCAAGAGCGAACCTCACCCTCACGGCAGCATGAGTGGGCCAAGGCCTAACAAACCCTTTAAGGCCACTGATGATTATAGGTGCAGTGTTGTATTTCTAGTATGTGATATTGCACGGGCTATTTCTGAAAGGATATCTTAGAGAAATCTTCAAGAGTTACATTAAATAGGCAAAGAGAATTAGGAGAATGCCCTTTGTACTTTAGGAGAGCTTGGACAACTGAGATTTGTCTCTTTTGGGTTGCGTGGTTAGCCAAATCAGGTCAGTTATCAGTTTTGCCTTACTATTACAGTTCCCTTAAGTCTCAGGTTGCCTGATCTCTGAGGAGCAGCCTCAGCAAGCATAAGTTATAAAACAAGCACAAAAACCCCTACATCATCATGTGTTGATGCAGAATATTACAGTCAGCCAAAGCATGTGGCTTCATTTTGAATCAAACAGCAGAAAATCTGTTGTAGAGGCTACAGGGTACTACATTTCCAGAAGCAAACAAAACTTGACTGAAAATAGTAGCAAGTTCAGTATGCTACTGAATAGGTCAGGTGTCCTGCTCCGAAAGGTCAGCTCTTTCGTCAAAGTTAATGCAAAAAAAAAAAAAAAGAAATTAGTTCTTGCATTTTGATATGGCAGAGGCTGAAGTGACCGTGCCAAAACCAAAGGGGAATGTTTGCGGAAGTGGCTTTCTGAGGGAGAATGTTTGTGGAAGGAGTGCGCGCTGAGCTCCTTCAGTTAATCTCTGGATCCACCTAAGAAATAAATAGCCCTTGCTCATTCTGATAATACAGAGGAAATTTTATCGTTGATTTCAGTGAGTTTAAGAGCAGGTCCTGCATGAAAAACTGGAGTGATTAAGCTGTCCCCTGACCAACTGAAGATGAAGGACATTTCTCCTCTTCTGCTCATTCAAAATCTGTAATCCATTTGGTCATTCCAAGTCACACCCAGTTGTGGCCTAGCCTCTCCATGAGCCATTTCTTCCTTTTATAGATTCAACCAGTCTGTCCCTCTTCATCCATCTTCTTGCAGCAGACGTCCCCAGGTTGCTCAGAATGCAGTCCATGTTGCAGCCACTAAGGGACAGAGATTTCAGCAGTCCCCAAGCATGAGGAAATGGGGAGGGGAAGTAACAAAAGTTTAGGAGCCATTGACATAGTTGAATTCACTTAAATCCCTACTAAGATGGGTTGTGTTTTGTGGTGCTAGATGTTAAGACTCCCTATGCTGTATTAGAAAGGCCAGGTTCAATAAGAAAAGGAAGGATACTAATGGATTTTTTAAACCCAAAGAAAGCAACGAGTGCCAAGAGCATGAGCTTGTTCTTGTCTCCTTTCAGTTCAGACCCTTTGGTTTGTACCCTTGAGGTACACAGATTCGTATGCAAACTTAGGCGGCTGTATCTGTGGATTCAAGGAGAGTTATCATTGTTCAGAAGCAAAGGAGACATCCAGAGCACAGCGCTGGGTCCCCCAGCTCACGTGTCGTTTTTGCCTCATGCTTAGATGTCTGGAATATTTAAAGCACAGGGATGTCCGGAGATAATTCCAGGGGGAAGAAGGGCATCATGTAAAAAATTATTGCTGTGAGATTCATGAACCATGAATGCAAAGTTGCTTGGAGATAATACAGTCAAACAGGGATGCTCAGATTACAGAAAACTCAAGTCTATTTTTCAAGGTTCATCTCAAATGACTGTGTGGAAAGTAACCACACATGTACACATAGTTCATCTCCAACAGGGCTTTACACAGGCACTGAATGTTCATTTTTAGATAGAGAAACTGAAACACCAAGAAAAACTGCCTTGCCCGAATTTGTGACAGATAAATAGAGATTGCAGACTTCCTTGTTTCTGTTCCTGCAGCCTGTGTCTTCTGGGAGATCCATAATCACCTTTTTTTTTCTAGGTATCATTGTATTGCTTTTTGTCCTGTATTAGTCACCACTTTTAAGACTAGTCTTTAACTTGAAAACAGCTGTAAACAATTAGTTCTCCTAAAATAGTGTTACTTAGTTATGTATTGCATGCATGAACACATAGCTCAGGTCAAAATCCTGGAGCCTGTGCTGGCAGCGCGCAGCATTTCTGAGCTGGCAGCACGTTGTACTGGCTGCTGCATCACTTGTGTCTTTCAGACCTCAGGTAGGCGCCTCATTTTGTGATGTATAAATGTCTGTGTTGTATGAAACTGAAAATCAGCTCAGTAATCCTATTTTCAATACCTATCTGCCCTGACATTCACACATACACACAATATTCCCTTTATGGGAATATTTCATACTTTCAGAGAAATACAGATTCTTTTTAGTTTTTCTAGTATGTTGGAAATGTATGAAGTGTTAAACCTTATAGGCAGCAACAAGTGAAATAAGCAGCACAAGAAGGGAAGGAATTCTAAAACTGCTCTGTTGTGAAAGTTCCCTTACAATTCGATCACAAAAAGAAATAGAATCTTGCCAAGTACTTATTTTAAGCATAGAGTAGCAGTGCTTACTTTATTTGCTCTGCTGGTCCAGATTCGAAAGCCATACAGTCTGTAAAACTTGCAAGATTTCTGGAGACATTGGTTATAGAAGTCGCAGACTTGTACTCTTTCTATAGCAGCTAGTTTAATCCATAAGAGAGTGATCTAATTTAATTTGTAAGAGTTCTTTCACAAAATGATATATTTTAGTGTTACCTAGAGGGCTGCAAAAGCTTTTCGGTGTGATACACTTTCCTTATCACCAAGCTAATTTAGAAAGGCAGATTACACCCCCGTCCAGGAAGGAGGGGATGCTAACATCATCAGGAACTAGTCACAGCTCTGCTTCCAGTCACAGCGAGTTATGTAATAGCATAGCCCATAGCACACCCTGTCATTCTGAAAGAAAATATTGGGTGTTTAGGGATTCCCCTCAAGTGCGTTATCCCATGTAGTGTCACTCTCAGCTTTTGCATACATAATCCTGGACTATAAAATGCTTTTGCCTCACAGGAGGGTTGCAGAGCTGGAGAGATTAAAGGAAAGGAACTTGGACAGAAGAGAGCATCTCCTAGCAGATTTAGAGAAAAGCCCACAGAAGTACGGTAAGACATCTCTATGCTTAACTGTCCAGCTAGCCAGTAGCTAACTGCAGCTTGCAAATGAAATAAGTTTATAGCTTATATATAGCTTTTATATATATTTTTTGTTATTAGGAACAAAGTTCTGGGATCAATCTCCTGCTTTATTTCCAAACTGTTCTGCTGCCTGGAACATCTTATCCTTCTTACTGTTGTCTTTAAAGGTTTATGCATGTAATAAGTAATATTGTAAATGTTCTTGGAATTATTCTGTCATGAAGAATATAGAAAATAAGCAAGTTCTTATTGTGGTTGTCTGTAGGAAAAAACAAATTAGTAAAGAATGTCTTGCCTTTCCTGTGATAGCTCTGAGCTATATTTGTGAGTCTCATTTCTCACTCTTTTCTTTTTCTATCTGCTTTTCTGTCCTTTCTTTTACTTTCCTTTTCCCTCCTCCATCTCCGCTCCTTTTCTCTGTTTTTCCATCTACTTTAAAAGAATATATAGGCATATTACTATGGCAATTTTTTTTAGCTTGGTTAAAAAAAAAAAAAAACTATCTCTAATACTTTGCAATTTCTGCACAGGTAGTTGCATTTGTTTCTTTTCCTCTTTAATTTTTTCCTCTCTGATTTTTTCCATCAGACAGCATGTTGGGAACCCAGTAAAAGACTGGGTCTTTTGCTGAAAGAATAATGTAAATAGCAAAATAATACCTGATTTACATCAGGAATATGTGAAAAAGTATATATTCTGTCTTTGTCATCAGCCTTGAAAAGAGATTTGGTTGAAAGCAATATTCTTTTCTGATGGGAAACTTTATTATGTGAATTAGTAAGATTTTACAGCCTTTTCTACACAAAAATGTGGAGGAATATAGTAAGTTATTAGTGCCTCTAATAACACTTTTGGATAACAGAGAACTTTATAAATAAATTTTAAAAAATTAAAGGTTAGAGTTGATTTTTGGTAGAATTGAAGCATTTTCCTGATACTGCTCATTGCTATTTTATACAGCTGTGGGACATCTGAAGTGCTCTTAACTGTAGTTTAGAATAAGCCGTATCCATAGCATTAGCCTGGCAAAGAAAATGATTAGTATCGTTAGTCCGCGATTCAAGTAATTTTCATTTTTAATCACAGGAAGTTAATGAGATCAAGTCAGGGTGGTGAGTTTCTGAGTCCTGTTGAAGGGAGTTACCTTCTTAGTGCTTAGAAAAAAAAAAACAATCAACACTGACCTTGTTTTTTTTTTTTCTTCCTCAGACGTGTTCCCACATCACACAAAACAAGATTTCAGCACTGTGAAGTAGAATCATACAGGACACAAAATGTTGTGCCCATGGCAGTTTGTGTTCAAACCTCCTGCTGCCAAGAACCAGTCCTCTGAAGAGAAGGATATCAATAACAATGTGGAGAAAAATATGAAGGTCCTTGGGTAAGATCTGTGTTTTTTAATGGTTTCATGTTTTCTCCCTCATTTGAAGAGGAAAGATTAAGTGCCATGAGGTTCTGAATAAATTAGTAACATGTTGCTAAAGCAATAATTTAAACAGGAAAACATTTATCCCCAGAGATCACTGGGCAGTATTGACTTGGGTAGGGTATATTTAAGCTTTTGTGTCAGAGTTATACAGTAACTGAGGAAATAAATCATCATCCTTTAACTTTCATAGTTCTCAATTTAGTTGATGCGCTGTTATGGTTTCTTGTATGGTATGTTTGCTGTAAAAATGAACAAAGTGATCATTAATGTAAACTATCCTCTGATCTGTAAACTATCCTGTAAACTATTCCTCTGATACAGTGATTTGCTGAATTATCTGGAGAGTGCAGCTAGCTGAAATTTCCATGTGTGTGTTTTCCAGAAGCTGTCACCCTCTTGCTTCACAGCTGTATAGATGTGCCTTGCTTAGGTTATTGCCATTACCCTCAGTGTTCAGTGTGCTGGAGCACCTAATGGATTCCTTCCCACAGAATGATCTGGACAGGGTTCTTGCACCTGCTCGTCCGCTCTGCCCCTCACCCTGCTGAGGAAGGGTAGCTTCCCGAGCCAGAATACCCTTCGGAGACAGTGTTGGGCATCGCCCTGCTCGTGTTGAACATAAAGCTAGCAAATAAAACCTAAGTATATAGTCTTATATTAAACTCTTAAACCCCTCTTTCTTTTAAAGCTTCGGAAAAGATGATGCCAAATTATATGAGCCGAGCAAGAAGATACAGATGCCTCCTGTCATAACCTCAGCAGAGGTCAGTGATGGGAGAAAAAAGTGTTTCTGACTTCGTGTTTGATACTGCTAGTTCACAGAGCTCAGCCTGCTAGGAGTTCTAAACCCAAGTGTAATTGCAATTACCACAAGAGGTTGGGAGACTTTCCCTGATACCGTGACTATTATGCTAAGAGGCCCCATTGAATTTAAGAGGTGATTTGCAGTGCAAATATTGTTTAATACAAGAAATACTTATTTCTGTCATTTCTAGTCAAACTGTGCACTCAGATGAATACATTCTCATGCTGGAGAAATTGAGGTTTACCCCTAGTTCTTAATTTTTAATTTAAATTGCAGAATTTAATGGTTGAATAAAACTAAAGTTTAAAAATATTTAACAAATCTAAAGACTGTGTGTATTTTTATCCTTAATCTGTTCAGAAACCCCCACAAAATGGTATCAGACCTTCAAATCAGGTATCAAGATGTCCAAGACATGTAAAAGTAAGAAACTTGGAAAATGGAACCAGTTTTCTTGACACTTTACACCTGACAGCAAAGGAGGTAAGATACAGAAAACTGTGATTTTTCTTAACTTCGAAAAGAAACAGGCTGCAACACTATTTTTCCACTTTTTTTTTTTTTTTTTTTTTTAGGTTATCAACTGCCGGACTAAAGCTTGCCAAGGGGCCCTCATGACTCCTAAGGGCCTGGTGAGGGGTACTAGAGATGGGCCAGTTCCACCAGCAGAGCTTTTACCTCAAGCAATAGAGTTTGTCAAGCTGTACTACAGTTCATTTAAAGAGTAAGGCAACCTTTGCTTCTGTTTTGATACAGAGCTCCTCTCCCTGCCTACCTTTCTGTGAGCCTAGAGAGGCTGCTTTCTTTACAGCTGTCAGCAACTATCCCCATTACACAGCGTGCTGTTAAGAATGGATAAGGACCCTTAGAAAAGGTGATTGGAGCTATTACTGTGTTTCATATGCTATGTCTGCTAATCCCAGGTTTGGGAAACACAAGGACAGATTCCTCTGCCCTGTCCCGTAGGAGTGTGATACATTCTAATAAGCAGCTGGGTCAGGACTCTCTTGCAGTATGTTGCCTTCTATTGGAGGCTGGCAGGATTAGCACCCACCGAGGTCAGTCCTAGACATGTGGACAGTGTGGAGAATCCTTTTAATTTGTGCTTTTCCAATTATCTTTTCTCTGCGTTCCTCTGTTCATTGTTCTTGATCAAGGGAGTACCCCCTCAAACAACAATACCTGGAATTTATAACTGGCTTAATGCTATTGACTTTCAAGGCTTTGGCTGCAGTTTGGAAGGCCAGGCTCTTGCTTCTCAACCTTGGTCCATGCTATTATCAACCTAAGTTTACTGCATGTGCTGAGAGGGATTCCTTAGCTTCAGAAAAGATGTTTGTGTTTTCAGAAAAGTGGAAACAGAGCAGAGAGATCTTGTTGCAGAGAAGGCTGGAACATCTGGTTCTGCCTCAAATTCTATCAGCTCAGGGTCAGTAGAGTTTTATAAAGAATAATGATTTGACCTACATAGCAAACGGACTCCTGGAGACTGCACACATGTGTCAGACTGTGGTTCCAAGAGTACAAGAGCTGCATCCGCTGCAGTGGGCCAGGTGTCGCCCGGTTGGTTTTATTCCCTTCTATTTAACATCTCTCTAATGAAGAATATGTTGTCAGTTTTCCCATGTTTTGACACGTGGAAGAGGGCTTGGGGCCAAGAGTTTGCAGGTCAGGTTCAAGTGACCAGATTTTCAAAACAATTAAGCGACTGCTCATTCTGTGGTAACCTATTACCAGACTTTCAGAGAGACCCCAGCATATAATGGTTACCTCTTTAGGCACTTTTAACTCTTTTATTCAGTTGGAAGAAAGCTTTGTCTTTCTGCAAGTCCTTGTTTTACCCCCTGCCTATACTCACTTGCATTACATTTGCACATCTCTCTGCTTCTGCTCAGGGTGACCTCACTGCTTGACTATTTGATCACATTGATTTATGCTGTCTTACATACTTGCCCTTGATCTTTCATCTTGTTGAAAATATGAAAACTCTCAGACAGTGCAGGCTATTCTCATTCTGTCTGTTAGCCAACAAAACAATTTTTGTCTGTGCTGTGATAAACATTTCTTCATGTTTTGTCTTCATTCTGTGTTATCACAGTAAAGAATTTTTGAGGTTGGCTTCTTTGACAAACAAGTTGCTCAGCACCTCCTTTCTGGTGTGCAAATCCTACTGACTTTGCTCAGAAGACTTTACCCACGTAAAAATAATAGAACTTTGAGAGGCAGTCACTATAATATTCTCTTCACCTTTCTGCTTCCTACTTTTGAGTTGAAGCTCAGCTGCTCTCTGCTTTTCATTTGCCTGCGATTTGACAGTTTTTAGCAACTGAATCTAGAATATCCAAATTTAAGCCAAAAAGGTTACACCTTTTATCAATGCATATGTACATTGAATAGTGAGAGTCACTGCCTAAATTTCTAGGGCATTTGATTCTTCAGTAGGCTAGTGAGCTCTGCTATTTGCACTCAAAAAGGACAACTTGTGAATTCTGAAGCCAGCAAAAGCTCTTCTCAGCTCAGTCAGAGTCCTATGCACCGAACTCGTGCCCTTTACCTAGAATATCCCCTGCTTTTTGAGAAGAGTTTTGTCACCTGGGCAGTCCCAAGAGGCAGCTGCTGTGCCCCGGGCACCAAGGGCTGCTGCGGCCGCGGGCGGACGGGCGGGAGATGCTGCCCGTGGTGGTTTCGCATCTGAAACACGGTGAAACACAGTGCTGACTTCAGGACGTTAGTGGATAATTTCACAAAGGACGGAGTATTTTATGTTGAGGTGTTTGACATCCAGAAAGTGTAGATTTATAACGTGGACAGGTTTCTCGGTATATATCTGTACTTGCCAGCTCTACGTACATAGATACCAACCCTCTGCCTGGAAACTTGCTCTAGCTGTATTCTGGCAAATAAAATCAGCAGGAGAATTGGTAGCCTTGCCCTGAAAAAGGGTGCCTTGCTGTCAAAAACTTTGTGGCTTAAGCAGCCCATGCTGCTCTTTACCCAGAACCTAGGAAGTGTGTCTGCAAATTAAATCAGTTCTAGGTAATGAAATTCTCATTGTTTCTTTTCATGACTGTTTCCTGTTCAACAGCTTAAAAATAGAAGAACACCTGGCCCGGCTGGAAACGGTGACCAGAGAGATAGAAACAACAGGAACCTATCATCTGACAAAGGATGAACTGGTGTTTGCTACCAAACAGGCCTGGAGGAATGCTCCAAGGTGCATTGGGAGAATCCAGTGGTCCAATCTGCAGGTACACCTAAGAGTCTAGGAATTATGGACCAAGTTATCATCTGCTGTAAATCTGAAGAATGTCTGTGACTTGTGTAAAATTATGCCCACTTGCATCAACCGAGAACTAGTCCCTCTTGTACTGATAAAATCAATTTTCTTCCTAGTTCTCTACTCAGTAGCTGAATTAAAAGATTTAGAAATGCACTGTAAGAATCAGCAAAGCCATGGAATTAGGTGCCTTGTGCCTTGTTGGATTGTTACATGTACAATATATGTACATGCACAATAGTACATATAGCAGCAGTTACAGTTAACCATTCATAGCAGAGCTAAAGTTGAATATAAATATCCTGATTTTTCATTTCAAGGTTTTTCTTGATCTCAATTTTAAGAAAAAACAGTTCTAAAAAAATAGTGATTTTAAATTGATTTTGGAACACTAATGTTCTTCTCTACTGTTCTTTCAAAAACACATAGGTATTTGATGCACGTGATTGTAAAACAGCCAAGGAAATGTTTGAACATATCTGTCGTCATATTCAATATGCCACAAACAATGGGAATATCAGGTAGGCCTCTCTTATTTCATTTGAATTTTAAACACCAAAAATCAGATCCAGATCTGCCTTCAAAACTCCGCACAAGATCTAAAATGATATATCTGAGTATTTAGCGGACTTGTTTCTGCCCTTGGTTCTCCTGTCACTTGCCTGTCCCTCTTGCGTCCGCCATGAGCCATTTTGCAAGCGGTAAAATCCCTGGCTGATGCAGTAAAAACATCCGTAGTCCCTGGGGAGAGGAGATCAAGTGGAGATTGTGGGAGCCGGGTGGAGAGGGGCATGATTTTACTTATACTGATGTTTAGTTTAGAAATATAAAATAACTGCTGTGAGTAACAACGTATGTCTTAATTACGATGTTTTTGGTGTGCTGATGTTTAATGGGATTCAATTGTGTCTCTGGGCAGATCGGCCATCACCGTCTTCCCTCAGAGGACTGATGGGAAACACGACTTCCGAGTTTGGAACAGCCAGCTCATTCGATACGCTGGCTATCAAATGGCAGATGGGTCTATCGTAGGAGACCCTGCCAGCGTGGAGTTCACACAGGTACACTTCCAGATACCTCCAGGTGCAGCAGCCAAGCTGCTGCCTGTCTGGTCCAACCCGTCTGTCTTCTGTTCAGTTATTTTGTGGGGGTGTTTATGCAGAGTGGGTGGGAAGTGCGGGGATGGGGAATGAAGGGGATGTTTTGTCCAACAGGTGCAGGCTGAAGCAATAATGTCTTACAGTCCTGATCTGAAATGCTCCTCTGCATGTCAGAGCAAGGGCAAGTTTTCCTATGGTCCCTCCCATGGAAGCGACTGGTGCTGTAAGATTTGTCTAATCCTCCCCTCATACTGGGGACAAACAGTGCTCCTCCACTGAGGAGGTACCTTGACGACTTCTAAAGATTTAACATTCTTTTGTCTGCAAATCCAGGGAGGAAAAAAAAATAAAAAAAACTTACTTTGTTTACTTACAGTTGTGCATTGAGCTTGGGTGGAAGCCGAAATATGGCCGCTTTGATGTAGTTCCACTCATTCTCCAAGCAAACGGCCAAGACCCAGAAATATTTGAATACCCGCCAGAAATTATCCTTGAAGTGCCAATGGAGCATCCAAAGTAAGCACACAATTACATTTTTGCCTCTGCCTCACCTTGCCTATTACACTAGTAGGAGGGCAGGTTTATTAGCCTGTGAGTTCTTTGTTAGGATGAAATGATGGCAAATTCTCCTGAAATATAAAACACCTGACAAAGCAATAACATGGGATTTAAATTAAGAAAGTCCACAGCATTTTTGTTAAAACTACTTTTCCCTAATCTTCATTTCAATCATATCCAGAATCAAAAAAAAAGTATTTTAATAATCCACTTGTAAAATGAGAATGTTGTTGTCATCATGGCTTTGATTCATTAGAAGGTATAAATATGTGTATTTCAAAGCAAAATCATCAACATTCAGCTTTAAATGTATGTGGGCAAGGTGAGCGGTGCCGCCGTGCCGTGGTGATCGCCCTGGCTGACGGTCTGGGTGTCGGGTGTTTGTGTGGTTCCTGCCAGGGATTGTTACCAGCTACCTCGTCATATACTTTCAGTTTGTACAATAATGTTTGCTAGTGTCTGCATTCAAAACAAAATATTTGCAGCCTCTCTCGCTTTGTTTCTTTCTTCATGTTTGTTTTGGGAGTCACATACAGATTGCAGAACTCTGTAATGCTGTTGTGCAGTTTCTGTAACAGACAATCCTCGATTCCCACATTGCTTATGACAACTGTATCATGAACTTTTGCAGCCCATTCTCCATGGGCCTTCCCTCCTACAGATAGTATTCCTTCTCTTCCTGAACTTTTGTAGTTATTGCCTACGGGAGGAGGAGATCCTATAAACTAATAAATCAAATGCTGCTTTAACAGGTATGAATGGTTTAAGGAGTTAGATCTGAAGTGGTATGCACTGCCTGCTGTTGCCAACATGCTTCTGGAGGTGGGAGGCCTGGAGTTCACAGCATGTCCTTTCAACGGCTGGTACATGGGGACAGAGATAGGAGTGCGAGACTTCTGTGACGTGCAGCGGTACAACATCCTCAAGGTACCACCTGGAGCGGGAGCGTGCGGGTCCGAGAAGGGAGTGGACTTGCTCGGGGGAGCATTTCTGAGAGAGAAGTGCTATCCGTCCTTGCGGGGACGGGTGTGCTGGTCTCACCCATCTTCTGGCTGTGGGAGATGTCTTGAACGGATCCCAATGGATATTCACCAGGCTGGGATAGCCTCAAGAACCAGAACACCATGATTCAAGCTCACCTTTGAGGCCGACTGTTTCTGCTGCCATCACTTACCCAGCCTAGGATTGACCTGTCCTCATTCCTTGATACTTTCTCTTGCATTATTATTTCAATAAGGTACAGAAATTACCAGGTCAAAGTCCTGAGTTTGCTTTCTCCCCTCTCTTTTCCATGTGTAGGAGGTGGGAAGAAGAATGGGGCTAGAAACAAACAAACTTTCGTCACTATGGAAAGACCGAGCTGTTGTAGAGATTAATGTGGCTGTGCTTCATAGCTTCCAAGTAAGTCAATGAGTTCGGTATCTGGAAAGACAGTGAACACTGTGGGTGTTCTTTTCCTTTCACTTGCAACAATTTTATACTGACACATTGCTAGTGAACCAACAATCAATTCGCAGGAGGCTATCAATGTAACTCCAGTAGAGTTATTCCTGATTTACTGATAAGAATCTCCTATGAGAGTAAAAGGTGGAGAAAAAGAGGGGAAATGAAATTAAGGGTCAGATTATTGCTCTTTTAACGCATTTGTCTATGTGTCAAAATCTATATTAAGACATTGGATTAAGTTTTCATTTTACAATGACTACGCATTTAAGCTATCATAACAATATAAGAGAGAGAAAAATGAATTGGAGGCATTTTAGCACGCTCTCCTAGTGCTACAGAGGTAAAATGCTGATGAAATTAAAAAAAAAAAAAAAGATTTAAACTGGCAACACAAACCAAGTCAAAGATCCATATAGAACATTATCTGTATTATAGCCGCTGATAATAAATATTTCCCAAAACTGTAAAAAAATACCCTGAAATATCAATGAACACCAAGACTGCTTTAGCTATGTCAGGGACAAAACCAGAAGGAGCATTTCAATTTATGCCTTTCTCTTTGCAATTCTTCTAGAAACAGAACGTTACCATCATGGATCACCACTCTGCTGCCGAGTCCTTCATGAAATACATGCAGACCGAGTACCGCGTGCGGGGAGGCTGCCCGGCTGACTGGGTCTGGCTGGTGCCTCCGATGTCGGGCAGCATCACCCCCGTGTTCCACCAGGAGATGCTCAACTACGTCCTCACGCCCTTCTTTTATTACCAGGTACAGGTCATCAAAAATGTGATTTTAGCAGACAACTTCAGCAGTGCAGGTGATAACATGAGACCTCAGAAAGTCTGAATGAAAAGCCCTTGTTACTTGCATCGCTGTCAGCTGTGGTGCCTGCAAAAGAAACTTCACTGATAGTTGCATAAATAGTAAGCAATTTCTGTTATGCTGTGGGAGGTTGTTATTTCTGTTGAATTCCCAAGCTGTATTTAAAATGCAGTTTACACAGAGACTGCTCCTTTATTTACACAGTCTGCGGAGAACAGGATTTACATCAGGCAGCAGTCATATATACACATTTTACTGAATCTGGCACACAAATGTGCAGACACACCAATTATGTTTTTATTATTTTACATTTGAATACTTGAACTTTTTTTTTCCTTTTTTTTAAAGGTGGATGCTTGGAAAACACATATCTGGCATGATGAGACCCGGAGGCCAAAGAAAAAAGAAATAAAGCTTAGCATCGTGGTAAAGTAAGTTAGTACATAGTATTAGTAGTAGTAGGTTAAAAAGACTTAGTACTTTCTTCCAAATGTTCTGTTCTTGTGATACTCCTGTTCCACATTTTTGAGTAATTTTTATAATAGGGGTTATTTGAATTGTTTGAATCACAGACTCACATGTCCATAGTTAGGTAATTTTCATAGCTGAGGTTCTTATTCAGGATTCTCACCCATGTATTTCCTTTAAAGAATCTTCTAAGGAAAAGCCACGGTCAAGATCAGCCTTTCCTAGCTTCTTTATGAGTCAGTGGGAGTTACCGGTAGCTCCGTTCAAAATGATAAATATTTGTTTCTTTTTTCTTCAGGGCTGTATTCTTCGCATCTTCGCTCATGCGAAAAACAATGGCAGCTAGACCCAAAGTCACTGTGATCTACGCAACAGAGACAGGGAAATCTGAAACACTAGCCAGCAGTCTGTGCATCTTGTTCAGCTGTGCCTTCAACACTAAGGTAAGGAAGCATAAACTGTCCACACTAAATGGAGAGTAAAGGTTGGCTAATTTTATCAGCCTCTGGAAGTTCCTTCATTCTATCAGCCTTCACTCCAAGTTTTAAATAGCCAGCAAAAATAGCTTGCTGGCAGTTTAGTTTTTTACTGATCTAGCACAGTGTCTCGTAGATTTGGTAAACAGTGATCTGGCAGTCACACAGATATCTTCTCTAGTTCTTAGCTATGTCCACTAGCAATTTCTCATGAGCTTGGTATCTTCCAGATTCTGTGCATGGATGAGTACAAAATCTGTGACCTGGAAAAAGAAACACTCCTTTTAGTGGTTACGAGCACTTTTGGAAATGGAGATTCTCCAAATAATGGCAAGGTAATGTTGAACTCAGGATCACTGACACCAAAGACCACCCTTTCATTTGTCCTATGTGTTTGAATAGAATATGAATCAAGGTCTTGCTTCTGTTTTAAATTAATCAAAGTGTATTTTTCTAATTTAAAATATTTTATGAATGTTTATACAGACTTTGAAGAACTCCTTGTTGACTCTGAAAATGCTGAGGAAAAAAATTAGGTAAAAATACTTTGTTATTTGTTTGCATATGAGTCCTTTTGCCTTTTATTTAGTGTAGCTTTGTGGTCTGTTAACACTGCCTTTCCCCAAACTTGCTTCTATGTTCTGCAGATATGCTGTTTTTGGTTTGGGGTCTACCATGTATCCAGAGTTCTGTGCCTTTGCTCATGCCATTGACCAAAAACTGGCCCAGCTAGGGGCTTCTCAGCTGGCTCCAATAGGAGAAGGAGATGAACTCAACGGGCAGGAAGAAGCGTTTCGCAGCTGGGCAGTCAATGTATTCAAGGTGACTGTAAAAAATTAGCTAATATATTCATTCGTTCATTTCAATCTTAACTAGCATTGCATAAAAACGGTGAAAAAATGGTTTTAAATACCTCAAAAAAATGAACTCACTTGTTTTATTTCAGTCCATTTCAGAGGAGAGAAAAAAAAAAAACATTTGCAAAAGTAACATATGGATTTAGATTTTAATTTTGAATGCCCCTCTTTCTACTGCTTCTCTAAATTGAAGAGTGAACTGGACCCTTTCCTACTGTCTTTGAATAAAGGTCCGTGGAAACTCTTGGATAGTAAGAACAAGGACAGCAGCATCAAACATCAGAATTTTTCTAAGTAGATCAGTTTTCTAGATAAACGTGTATAAAGGTGGAATCTTACTGAATTCCTCTAATATCACTGGTCTCGAATGAATCAGTAAATAATAGCAATCATTGAAACTGAAATCTCCCTATTATAATTACGTGATACCATAAGTAGCTCTAACTCCTTATCCTGGTGTCAGTACTGTTTTCACCGAAATAAGCATAGCATTAACACATATCAGCCAAATGACAGCCAGAAGACAATACTAGGATCATATATATTTATATATATATATATATATTTACCATTAACAGCCTTAAATTTTTCTTCTTTTTAGACTGCTTGTGACACTTTCAACATCCGTGGGAAAAACAGTATTCAGCTGCCTGGGATATATACTTCAGAGGAAAGCTGGGATCCTAAGAATTACAGGATAGTACATGACTCTCAAACCATGGACTTGACTAAAGGTATTACCACCCGCCTCCCACTTGCTCTGTCTTCTTACTTCCGATTAGGTCCAAATTGTAAAAGTTGTCCAAGAGTGGTACGGGCTCTGCTGCAGTGCTATATGATGGAATAATAATGGAATTATAGTGGGAGGAGAAAAAAAGACCTAGATTAACCGTGGAATAACTCATTATTTCTTCCAGTGCAATAATATCAAAGCACCAGAACTGGCAGATATTTTGGCAGCTTCAGAAGCAAAGCAAAGGCTGAAATGAACTACATTTAGTTGGGGAAAGTGTGCAAATCACTGCAGTATACGTATTTCCTATCTAGGACACCTAACTGTTGTACATTCTAGGGCAAACATAGTTCAATTGTTTTCTGCATATACATGAAGCCATTTTAAGCAAAATTGCCATGAGTCATGTCCTCATTTTTCAACAGCGCTTGCAGACGTTCATGCAAAGGATGTAATTCCCATGAAGCTGAAATTCCGGCAGAATCTGCAGAGTGTAAAATCCAGGTATTGTTTCTCACTCTTTTGAATATTAGAATACCACATTTTATTCAACTAACTGAAATGCCTGGATATAAAGATCTTCCCTCTGTAGTTATTGAGAAATATGGAGAATTTGGTATCATTATTAGAAGTCGTTATCACGAGGAGCACCAGAATAACTCCTGTTTAGATGCTTTACTTCACAGTGGAGTCTCTGGGACTTTAGGGAACTAAATACCTTTGTGGTGGTGGTGGCCTTTTGATAGTTACCAAGTGTGGAAGGTCAGGGGTATGGTCCCTGTGTCTTGCTTGGTTCTCTATGTGCTAAGTGAATGTTTGCTTCATTTAGAAAACAGAATTGTGCCTTAGCAGACAAAAAAAGGGAAGAGAGAGAGTACAGGAAGCTGCTGTAGTGCTTGCAGTCACACTGCAAAGCGAGATGAGACAAGATAGTACCCAAACACAAAAGGATATTCACCTTAGAAATAGCATTTATGAATGGCTTGTCAGCATCCTCCAGTAAGTCTTGGCCATCCCTGTTCTAAATACTATACAAATTGTGCATGCGTGTGTGTATGTATGTATATATCTGTATATATATATATATACACACACACACACTTCTATATACAATATATATGCTCTTATATAAATATAAGGAGAGTTCCTCATAGGAAGTCCTGTGGCTCTGTTTCCGACGGGAGCTATTCAGTCTTAGCAGACACTTCCTTCACTGGCTGACTATGGGCAGATTTATTTTCTACTGGACCGATCAAGCAGCACTTCAGCATCTTATTTGTTTTGGTACAAATACTTCACACATCTAGACTATTACTCAATTAAGTCTCCATGAATTACTAAGCTGGTCTGATAATTTGATAGTAAACACAAATAAAGCCTTGCCAACTGTCATTTCAGGTTTATTCCTTTTCTGCACAGTTTAAGGGAAATCCTGTCAACATAACCAAGACCTGTCATCGTCTTTTTTTTTTGTTCTTTTTGAATCTAGTCGTGTTACTATCCTGGTTAAACTTTCCTGTGAGACTGATCAGGAAGTGCACTACCTGCCTGGAGAACATATTGGGATTTTCCCAGGCAACCAGCCAGAATTAGTCCGTGGCCTCATTGCGCGTGTCAAAGATGCCCCACCAAATGACCAGACTATCAGACTTGAAACATGTGCTAATGGTGAGTTGGTTCTCTTCAGATAAAATAAAAAATAGATAATTGAAAGATTATTGATGAAAGATTTCCATCATTCTTTTTGCTTAGGTGTTATTTTTGTTGTTTTCTTATCGTGCAGTTCTGTTCATCTGATCCTGTGCTTACAAAAAGTATTGAAATCTATATTAGTCTTTTTAACAAATTCCTGTCTTGGGTTTAAGGAGACTGCACAGTCAGATCACCAAGGTTTTAGATTATTTTTCCTGGCAGATACTTTTCTCAGTAGGACCATGTGGTCTACACCTGCGTGCGTATACTCTGAAGTCCTATTTCAAAGGACACTGAGCCTTGTGAAGCTCTACAGCTGTCCAATTCCTTTGGGAATTCTAAGCATTATTTCCCTCATTTCCAGGTGGCTACTGGACAAGTGACAAAAAAATTCCAGCCTGCACACTGCCCCAGGCTTTGACATACTTGCTTGATATCACTACTCCACCCTCCCAGCAACTGCTAAAAAAACTCTCACAGCTGGTAACAGCAGAAGGAGACAAAGAGAAACTGGAAGTCTTATGTCATGTAAGTGTTAGGGCTAGATTTATGCTGAGAGACATCTATGGACTGGAAAAATCAGAGGCTGATGCCCTTGTGCTGTGTAGCAGAAGCTCTAGAATTCTTTGCTTGATTCTCGCCCCTCCATTGCACCTGAATAAGAGAAAGGACAGTGGTGTATTGAGGCGTGGGAATCGGATCATAAGAAATCTTTTGATATTTCCTGTGTGGTTCTGGGTGGGTCAGTTTGCCCTGCCTGTTTCTCTTGCCTGCCTTGTGGTGGTTTCTGATGATAAACCACTAGAAGACTTTACTGTTTGCAGATGGAGAGGTTGAAGGGAAGCTGGTAAAGTGAAGACAGTTTGGTTCTGCAAGAGTAGGAGGGATGTAAGTTTAAGTAACTGAAAACTCATAGGTGTGGAAAGTGCTCACTTCTCGTGCTGGGTTCAGTAAGCGCTGGGTTCCTGTAATTCTGTGGATATCTCATAGCAGTGTGCTGAGAAACAGATTCTTCTTTAGTTTTGACATCCTCAAAGTAGCAATTACTGTTTGAGAAAACTTATAGGAAACCCCAGTGCTGGGGGGGTAATGTTTTGAGAGTTCTGTGGTAATCTGCAGTTTAGTGCCTGTTTAATTAGATGTAAAGCAGGAATCTTGTTTTACAAGTGACATTTCAAATATCCCTAAACTCAACACGTCCTCATAACTTTGCAATGGTGGCCTTTGACTTTTAGAATACAGAAGAATACAATAAATGGAAGTTTTACAACAGCCCTAACATCCTGGAGGTCCTGGAGGAGTTTCCTTCTATGGAGATCTCAGCATCTTTCCTACTGACTCAGCTGCCACTTCTGAAACCCAGGTACTATTCTGTGAGTTCCTCCTGCGACATGACGCCCAGAGAAATTCATCTGACAGTTGCAGTGGTCAGCTACAAGACAAGAGGTAATGCATTGTTGTTCTCATGTATCTCTTAAATGATATTTCTGTGGCTTTGTGGTTCAGTAAAGACTTAATCTGCATCTTTTTATAAAAGTTTGTGCCATGGTAATATTCTATGTGTAGAATAGTGTACAGAAGTTCAGCTATTCATACTGTATCAGGATTTTTTTTAATCCTGCAGCTTCATCAGTATATCCCTGTTTTAGAAATCAGTAGTACATATCCACTTACCTAACCAACTCAATTTTAAGTATAAACTGTGCTTTCTTAAAAAACAAAACAAAACAAAAAACCAGTTTCCCATAGTCACAAGTGTGTTTCTTTGCCTCTGATTAGGTGGGGAAGGGCCTTTGCACCATGGAGTTTGCAGTACATGGCTGAATACAATAGCTCTGAATGAAACAGTCCCATGCTTTGTACGCAGGTGAGTGTATGACAGCAGAAAAATAGTATTTGCAGTATATTATTTGCAGTATATTAATAGTATCTGCAGTATTTTTGGTTGTTTGCATATGATTTCCAAGTGACTGGTGATTGCAGTTTGGAATATCTGAGTTTGAGTTGGAACTCCCTGTCTTCCAGAGAGCAGATGCTTTACTATGTTTTATTCTGAGTAAAATCATAAAACATATAGTGAGTCTGATTCTTCACTCCTTCAACACAAATTTACTTTGATGTATTTTAACATAACAGAAGTTATCTTCATTTAGGGCAGTAGAAACGATCACAAGCTTCATAGTAATAGATTTACTCTGAGTTTTATGTGTTTTTGCATATTAGTGCTACTGGATTCCATCTCCCAAGGGAGCCAACCAAGCCGTGCATTCTTATTGGTCCGGGAACAGGAATTGCTCCGTTCAGAAGTTTCTGGCAGCAGCGTCTCTATGACTTGGAAAAGAAAGGTACTGTGGGGGTTGACACAAGGGGCAGGCTGCACCTAACCCAGGAGCAGCAGACAAAATCTCTGCAGAACAAGACACTAAGAAATACTAGCAAAATGCTAGCAAAGTAAAGTATGTGTAGATTTGTCATACAACAACTGATTAAACGCTGCACTCAAGCAGCTAAAAATTCTACCCACTTGATGGAATTCTGGTGGTCTTGAATCATTCAGTCAGTTGGAGGAAAAAGCCTCTGTGTGTCCTTTTCAACACTGTGTGCTCACCGACTGCCACAGTATGGAAGGGCCACAGTATGGAAAGGCTCTCCCTTAGTCTCCCTGTCATTCCGTGTGGAGATGTGCTCCAGCAAGAGCTTCCACATGGTTCTCTGAGGTTTCAGGAAAGTTTAATCCTGCTGCAGGCCCTTAAATCACAAGTTGTCAGACCACACAGACACATGCGTACACACACACTGCTTCTAAGATCATCAGTGGGGAAAGCTAATTAGAAAGTCGCAGTTGCTTTGCCTGAGCGGTGGCTGAGACAAAGCGACCTCATAATGGGACAGTAATAAGAGATAACGGTCCTTACTAGGAAAGAGAAAGTAACTTGTCAATGTTGGTTTCAGGGACCAAAGGTGGCAACATGACATTATTGTTTGGCTGCCGGCAGCCAGACATGGATCACATCTACAAAGAAGAAATGCAGGAAATGAAGAGGAAAGGAGTCCTGAAAGAGGTCTACACAGCGTACTCCAGACAGCCTGGCCAAGCTAAAGTAAGGCTTGTTCCTCTGTCCTTCAGGGATGGGCTCCTCTGGGAGTGCTTCCACAAGTTAAGATTTGGCCTTTGCTTAATTTTTTTTCTTAAAAAAAGTGTTTTGCTTCAGTGTATTGTGAACAAGTGGCAAAAGACCCCATTCCTTCTAAACAAAGGAGAATCTCAGTGTGCACTTCAATGTGAGCCAGCTGTATAAAAATAGTCCTTACTGCTATTTAGAGAGACATAATGGACATAATTATACCTTTAAATGTAAACAGCCTTTAATACTAGGAGGTGTAACATTTTCAGAAACCTTAAATTTTGTGGGATATGATCAGACTAGGAGTGAGAAATTAGTGGACTGTGGCTGTTTGTAGCCATCTCAATGACAAACTAACCCTGGAAAATTCTTCTCTAGGAGAAACCTTGATTGGAGAGAAAAACAATGCTTAAACTATCCTCCTTTTAACTGTCCTCATATCCTGGCAAGAGAAATCTTTGACAGTGGCAGCTGATCTTAAAAAAGAACAGTTCTGTTCTAGTTCAATCAGTCTCCAAATCTGAAGCTAATTCTAAATGTAGTA